GAGGGAAATGATAACACAAGGAGCACGAGGAGAGTAGATTTGAAAAAGGGAAGACTGAAGTGAATGTCTAAAGGGATGGAGGGCAGGGCTATTGGGGAGGAGGCTAGTGACCAGTTAGAAAGGCATGGTAAAGAACATCGAATTAAACATGTCAATTGATAGGGAGCAGTGACTACAGCAGGAAGAGTAGGGTGGGTCAGGCTAAAACCACTCACCTTAGAGCCAGCCTGGTTTCCTCCTTACTAAAATTTTATCTGATGTTTTCTTCAGAACTAGTCATCACTTCTCCTTTCCTCTTATTCTTTCTTTCTTTCATTATTTGCTTTCACCCTTCCTCCCTTTTAATTTCTTATTGAAAAAAATTAAAAATAAGGTTTTGCTATGTAGCGCAGGCTGGTTTTGAACTGTAGTCCTCCTACCTCGCTGAGTGCTGGGATTGTAGATTGTGTCTGTGTGTGACTAACCATGAATAGCTCTTTCCCCTTCATTATTTATATTCTCTTGAAATGTTACAGCCCTGGGAACTGTTTATTCTCCCATCTTTTGGGTCGATTTCATTTTTTCATCTTGTAGACTTTTCTGCCCAGTGGGATTCCACATTGTTCTCTACATGTTCTGTCTTCTCACTGTTTGCACACTTTCTGGATGATGTTACAAACCTATGACTTCAGCTGCTGCCCAGATGCATGTGTCCCCCAAATCTTTCTCTCTAGCCTCACTGAGCTCCTTTGTTCATGTAATATATTTCTGAGTGACTGATGAGTAGCCTTCAGATGTCCTCCTGGCATCTTAAATTTAAATTAGGCCTGATTTCTTTTCTCTAGTTTCTCTCTCTTCATTTTAAAATTTCAGTCACCCACAGAGATGTTCTGACTTTTCAGTCTATTCCTCTTATCTCAGCCACTAATTCCTTTGGATTCAGTTTTTCCTATATATATATATATATATGTGTGTGTGTGTGTGTGTGTGTGTGTGTGTGTGTTTGTGTGTGTGTATGTATGAGTTTGGGCACACACTTGACATATTGAATGTATGGAGGCTAGAAGACAATCTAGGTGTTGATTCTTGCCTTCCACCTTGCTTTAGACAGGGTGGAGAGATGGCCCAGTGATTAAGAGTGCTTGCTTCTTTTCCAGAAGATTCAAGTTTTGTCCCTGTACTGGCTTGTTTTTGCGTGTCAATTTGACACAGGTTAGAGTCATCAGAGGAAGGAGCCTCAGTTAAGGAAATGCCTCCATGAGATCCAGCTGTAAGGCGTTTTCTCACTTAGTGATCAATATGGGAGGGCCCAGCCCATGGTGGGTAGTCTTATCCCTAGTCGGATGGTCCTGGATTCTATAAGAAAGCAGGGTGAGCAAGCTATGAAAAGCAAGCAAGTAAGCAGCTCCCCTCCATGGCCTCTGCATGAGCTCCTGTCTTCAGGTTCCTGCCTTGTTCGAGTTCCTGTCCTGACTTCTTCACTGAGGAACAGCAATGCTGAAGTGTAAGCCAAATAAACCCTTTCCTCCCCAGTTTGCTCTTTGGCCATGGTGTTTCATCACAGCATAGAAACCCTAAGACAGTTCCCACATTAGGCAACTCACAGCCACCTATAACTCCACTTTTAGGAAACCTTACGCCCTCTTCTGGCCTCCATCGGTACTCTCACTTCCCTTTGTCCGCACCCTTCCATCCACTCCTCTGTTTCTGTTAGGCAAATTGATGGAACTAGAAAACAATTATCCTGAGTGAGGTAACCCAGATGGAGAAAGACAAAGAAGGTATGCACTCAACCTGATACGACATGTTTTGTTGATATAGGGGAGACTTGCCTGAAAATTTCCTCGTGACCTTGTTTGGGAATGTATTTCCTACCCTCCCCGACTTTATAGATTTCTTCTCCCTCTGTGAGGGTCACTGGACATTTTCTTTACTTATTTTTAATCACTTGATAAATGAAAACACTTCATGGGCTGGGTGTGAAGGTTAGTAGGTTAAAGCACTTGCAGCCAAACCCAACCACCTGAGTTCAACCTTGTAGCATCCACAAGGTGGAAGGAGAGATCTCCCTCGAGCTGTCCTCTGTGCTGGATAGTTTTATGTAAACTTAAGACAAGCTAAAGTCATCAGAGAGAAGGGAATCTCAGTTAAGAAAATGACTCCATAAGATAGGGCAGGCTTGTAAGGCATTTTCTTAATTAGTGAATGATGGAGGAGGGTCTGACCCATTGTGGGCGGTGCCATCCCTGAACTGGTGACCTTGGTTTCTATAAGAAAGCGGCTGAGCAAAGCATGAAGAACCAGCCAGGAAGCAGCTCCACTCCATGCCTCTTCATTAGCTCCTGCTTCTAGGTTCCTGCTGTATTTGAGTCCCTGTCCTGACTTCCTTTGATGATGAACATTGATATGGAAGATTAAGATAAATAAACCTTTTCCTCCCCAACTTGCTTTTTGGTTATGGTGTTGCATCACAGCAATAGAAACCCTAACTAAGGCATCCTCTGACCCCCACATGCCTGATAAGTACACAAGCACACATACATGTAAAAAAGCGAAGAAGGGCACTGCATATCTGTCCAGTGAGTCTTCCTCCATGCTTTAGGATGCCGGTAGAGGTATGTGGAGCTACAGGAGTTTGAGGTCAGCCTGGTATCTACAAAGAGAGTTCCAGGATAGCCAAGGCTACACAGGGAAACCCTGTCTTGAAAAACAAATGAACAATTAAGCAAAAAGAAGAGAGTTGAGGACCATAGGAGGGGTTTGAAGGACCTGTCGGAGGAAAGGGAGGAGGAAGTGATGTAATTATATTTCAATTTAAAACATATTTTTAAATTAAAAACAATACATTGATGAGAATTTGGCTTTTTTTGTTTTTTAAAGACAGGGTTTCTCTGTATTGCTTTGGAGCCTGTTCTGGCACTCACTCTGTAGACTGGGCTGGCCTCGAACTCACAGAAATCCACCTGCCTCTGTCTCCTGAGTGCTGAGTGCTGGGATTAAAGGCGTACACCTTTTTTTTTTTTTGGTTGAGAATTTGGTTTTAAAGACCAACAGAATAATACTTGATCTTGTAATGATTTAAGCATTTCACATATATGTAGAAGAAATCAAAGGTTAGGATGTCTTAGAGTCAAAAAGTCTGAACAGATTGTCTAAGGCAGTGGTTCTCAATATGCCTAATGTTTTGACCCTTTAATATAGTCCTTTATGTTGTGGTGATCCCCCCACCCCAACCATAAAATTACTTTTGTTGTTACTTCGTAACTGTAAGTTTATTACTGTTATGAATTGTTATATAAATATCTGTGCTTTCTTATGGTCTTAAGTGACCCCTGTGAAAGGATTGTTTGACTCCAAGGGGGTTGTGGCCCATAGGTTGAGACCCACTTGTCTAAGGCAATGCAAAGGAAGCTTAAGACAATTGCTATGCTTCAGGCATAGAAAGTAACCAGTTTAGAATGGAGTAAAAGGCCATATGCTCCAGGAGGATGTCTCTAAAAGAATATAAACTTATAACTTAATAGACTTAACTAGGTGGAGAGTACATTGAGAGTCATTTTATATAGTTGAGGAGGAAATTAGGAAGATGAAAGTCTAATGAAAACCAAGCAACAAAAAATAAGGCAACTGTTAACTCTAGGAAAAACAAAACAAAACAAAAAAACAAAATAATCATGTGACAAAGGAAATGTAATCAAATCACTTATTGTATTAGTAACTAGCCATTTTTTAAAAAAATATGGCCATAATGATAAAGTCATTGAATCTGTATTTATTTAAAGCTGACATTTATTTAAATTAGAAAGATGAGGTAGGGAAAGTATTTTAACAATTAGTAAGAAATCAATAGATATTGTGTTGTGTTTGTGTGTGTGTGTGTGTGAATGGGAAGTATGGGGGTAGAGAACATAAAATATAATCCTTTACCTAGTTTCTATATGTATTTCAAATCATTGCTTGACTTTCAACTATTAGTATATAAAACTGAAAAAAAGTAAGAGCAAAGATGACTGTTAGTAGGATTATATATTTCTAACATAAGAAAGTTATTTAAGGGATATTGCTAAGTAAAAATATAACAAGTCAAAACAAACGAAAAACAAAAACAAAAAACAAACCCAAAACCAAGACAAAATTATGAAAATATTTCATTTTGGTAAATGGTACTATTTTAATATAGGATTGCTAATGGTAGGTATCTTGGACATTGTAGACAAGCTTTGTTGCTTTGTTTTGGAGTATGTCAATTATTCACAATAAGCACATGAATTATTTTTTGAGAAAAAATGAGATATACTAAAAGAACTATTAAAAGCCTCTTTCTCCCACTAAAAATCCTATTCAAGGATAGAGGAGCATTGTTTTGCACATGGGGTAAAAGAATAGAATGGGAAACTTGAGTAAAGGCAAGAAATTGCATGAATGTAGTCAAACAGCGTACTTTCTCTTTTCTTATCTTATTTTACTTTTTTGACAGAGTCTTGCTATGTAGATGGTCATGGAACTTCCTATGTAGCCCAGGTTGGCCTTGAACTTAGGATTCTTCTGTCTTAGGTGCTGAAGCTATTCAAGAAGATTCTATGACTTCAGAAGAATAAAATTTAATGGTGATGATAACATCTGTGATAAGATCACTTTTTTTGAGAAAATGTTTCATGTAGCCCAGGCTGACCTTGAACTTTCTGTGTAGCTGAGGACAACATTGAATCCTCTCGAGTCCACTTCCCAAGCATTGGGATTCTACGAATGCCTGCCAGATGACACCAGGCAAAACTAGCAGTTAGAGCCGATATTTCTTGAGCTTTTCAATGTGTTAGGCACTATGCTAAGGGCTTCAGGTTTGCAGTCATCCCTTGGTATTCCTGGTAGATGGTTCTAGGCTATCCCTAGATGCCAATTCCTCATATAAATAGTATAGAACCCATATCTACCTCAAGGGAGTAATAAGAAAAAGTATGTATATATTTTTCTCAAATATTTTCACTTTGAAGTTGATAGAATACAGAGAAGGTGACCCACAGTTGCAGAGCCAACTGTGTTATATATTTAATTTCTGCACAAACTGTTTACACATGCATTCATGCATTCATTTATTAAAATATTGTTTGAACACTTACAATGTGCTAGGTATTAATTAACACAATGTAATTAATTAATTAACACAATGTATTAGCGATAAAATAATTATTGTCTCTGATCCCACTAATTTATGTTCTAATGAGGGAAACAGATATTAAAAATAAAAATAAATATTCAATGACATGATAAACAACATGGAAGGTTTAAGAGAATGATAAGGAAACCTACTTCAGGTAGAGTGCTATGGGAAGATCTCTTCCAGAAGCTAAAGTGTTTAAGTAGAGATCTAAAGAATAGGAGGAACCCACAGGCACAGGAAAGGCCTTGAGGCAGATGTAAGTGACTGTAATAAGGAGATTGTTCTTCTCGCATAGAGGAGCTGAGAGGTCTTAGAGGCCAAGCAGAGAATGGAGAGAGTGATGCTAGCAGAGTCTGGGGAACTGTCAGACCATCCTGGGCCGTGGAGACTGGCTTTCACACTGAGTGCAACGAGGAGTCTGTATGGTTATGAGCAGGTGAGAGAAAGAGATTGTATATACTAGGGACATTTTGCTGGTTGTCTTTTGGGCCATGGGCTGCAGGGAGACAAGAGAAAAACTAGAAGAGATGTTTAGAGGTTGTTGGAGTATTCAGGTTCCAGATGGGGAGGGCTGGATATAGAACGATGGTCTACAAGTTGGAAAGAGATAGATATGTTTAATATATTTTGGAGGTAGAGGCTGAAGGGCTTGGTGACAGAGAGGCTGTAATCAGGTATGGCTTAGATTCCTGGCTTTAGCAATGGACCTGATGTATTGCTATTCTCTTCTTATTTTTGGCTATGAGCTTCAAGTGTCAATAACATCCCAGGAGGCCTGCCTAGTAAATGATTTGTAGGACATGAGTGTGGGCCCATACACAGTTAACCAACGTACCATATTCTTTCTCCAACCAATTACATTTCACTTGCCTTCTAGAAGGAGAGAAATCGTTACCTGCAGAATTATAATCTGTTGGTCAAAACTCTGTTTAGATACCAAAGAGAAAACAACATGTAGGTGTGTTATCCAAAGCAGGATTTGTCCTGGAGTGGATTAGAAAGCAGTTTTGGAGTTCCACACTGGAGATCTTGCTACTCTTCAAGCATCTGACCTATATACGCAGGATCAAGTCTGACATGATAACCCTGGATATCCAGATTCCATTGCCAGTAGGAAACCAGGCTTCTCTGTTCGCTTCCAAGGGATCAGTAGATGTATTCTTTCTGAATTCCTTTAAAGTCCTTCACCAACTTACTTGATGTCCTTAAGAGTATTGATCCTGGGAGAAATGGGCTTGTTTTATGAGGAGAGAAAGAAGTAGGTTAGTAAGGTAGGCCATAGCCTACCCTTCATGGCTACAGAGAGGACACGAAAGCCCTGCTGGTCAAGATAGTAGCGCTATTGACAACATGAATTAGGGTTTCATTAAAAACCAAGTAGGTTAATTATAATAGGCAATCCAAAAAAAGGTAATTTAATATTTCATCTATTTATTTATTGAGTTTGTATATGTTTGTGTATGTATGTATGTACGTACAAACAGAGGACAACTTGTAGTTGTTTCACTCCCACAGTGTGGCTCCTGGGGATGGAACTCAGGTCATAAGCTTGATGAAAATTGCCCTTTATCCACTGGGTTATTTCACCAGACCCAAGATAACATTTTATATTTTGGTAATGTCCCAAGACTTTCTTTTTTTTTAGTATCTGTATTTGGATATATGTAAAATGGACCTTTTATTTTATTTGAAAAATTGTAGGTTTGGGAGAGGCATAAAAAAATACAAGATCATAGGGGCTGACAAGAATATGGTTGCTGAGCAAGCATGAGGATTTGAGTTCAAATCTCCATTCCCCATTTAAAAAGCTACACAATGCTTGTAATGCCAGCACTTTAGCGGGGAGAGGTTGGGAGAGTGTTTAGGCTTTCTGGCACAGGTTTAGCTTTAGGTTCAGTGAGAGGCACTGTTTAATGGGAGTATGATAGAGAATGGTAGGGGAGGGGACTAAGGGGTGGTTCTCACCCTCACACACCTAAGCACAAACCACATACATACATTAAACACATATTCACTCATACAAAATAAAAGAAGATAAAGCAGTCATGGATTTACCTCTCTGGAGTGATTAACTATGGAGTAAATTGTCATAGAATCATTTTTTGTAGATTTTGGTATTTCCATTTCCTGTAAACAACAACAACAAAAGAGTTCTATGCATTTGGCTCTCACGGAGACAAAAGAGGTACATGCATACATATATTTTTGGGGGGAAGACAGTTGTGATGAGAAAGAAGTGGCATGCCAGGAGTAGGTGGGAACCAAGTTCCACCAGTTCAAACCTGTGAGGTTTCAGCAACATTTCTTGAGAAGTAGAAAAGCAACCTAAGTAGAAGAGCAACATCCCATCAATCCAAAGGTCCCAACTAGAGAGCCAGAAAGGTGGCCGTGTGTGAAGGGACTAAAACATTCCTGTCTTGCATCTGAGTCTACGCTTGCTTCCCCTCTGTCTGTAAAAACTTGCATACCAAACAGTTATTGCATCGTATCTTTTGTCCCAGTTTTTATTAGCTGTAACTAGAGCCACCCTCCTTGCCTGCTCCACTTATCCCTGTTATTCCAATGGCCCAGTCACCACGTTGTGGTCATTGTCGGGAACTAGAAGTATAGGAACTCCTGGTTTTAATATTTAGAGAATAATTAAGGCCCCAGAAACTCTCCAAGGTATGATGCTGTTTTTTTTTTCCAAAGAAACTGACAAATGGGTTTGTTGGAGAGCTTGCTCCCACCAGGAGTTGGGGATGACAATTGAGTAAGTGGTGTGAATGCCCTTTATTGTCTTCTCTTTTAGGAACCTACTCCATAAAGCCTGTGATGAGCTTGGCCAGGAGTGCTTGCTTGGGGAATCCAAGACTTCTAGCTGGGCCATTTCAAGAATGCCACATTCTTTTGGCTTATTTTTCAGAAAGTGTGAGAACTGGCTCCCCAGTCTGTCTAGTTATTCAGAAAAGTGTCCTCACAATTGTCTCAATCATAGGTAGTGGGGACAGAGGATTTCCTGGCACTTTTCCAAGGCCATCCTATTATGTGGGCGTTCTCTTGCTTTAGTTCTCTTTATTGTGAAGGGGTTATAGGACTTGCCCTCCTTGTCTCTTGAGAGACCACTTTAGGCTCTGCTAGCACCCCTCTACCTGGAAGACAGCTCCTCCTAGGGTATAATCTCCTCTGATCTATTCATGTGCTCATTGAGTGTCATACTACATGAAGCAAGGGAAAGGGAGGATATCTAATTTGTACTTTCAAGCAGGTTGTCCCTACCCAGAAAGGATAAGACCTACTGGAACATTAAACAGTTAGAGAACACTGGGAATCAAATAAGAGTAAATATTCCCTTAGGAGTGATCATGGCAGACACTGGGATGGTCAGCCCTATGGTTGCCTTCTCCAATAAAGAATGTTGATGATTATGGTGACAAGTTTGTGAGTGGACAGGACTTACCTGCACTGGGTGAGTGACTTGTGCATACACAGTGTTGCTTCCTGGAGAGCCTGGAGCATCTGTGTTCTGGGAGGAATCTATGGCTAACACAAAAAAGGTATGGCTATCAGTGCTGGGACTACAGGGTTGCTTCCCATAGGACCTTGGGTCTTGCTGATCTCCAGAGTATTCTTTTTATCTCCAAAGCAGTTGTTTCTAGCTTGTTCTTCCTTAAGGACGCCCTCCTCACCTCCCAGTCTTTGGAATTCTGGGCTAAACAAGAACTTTCGTGTGGTCTATTTCTAACTTTATTTCTTGGGTGAGTTGACAGTGTTATGACTTACAGTCTCAGCGACTCCTTCATGCTCAACACATGATGGACTAAAGACCACCACCCACAGGATCTCTGGAGAAGCTGTTTTCACAGGCAGTGTGACAGATTTGACTGTTTTAGAGATGAAGAATTGCAGGTTCAAGAGAGCTCAATAGACCTGTACAAAACCACTCAGGAAGCAGTAGGACAGGAATTGGAATGCAATTGTTTTTGACTCCTGACTTTGTGCCCTTTCTTCAACAATGGTATCTTGAAACTATAACCCACAGCCTGAGACTTAGAAAATAAGCCTGCATTAGCATCTCTTTATCACACCTTCCTTTTTAATGGTTTCTATCTACTGGGGTCTAAACCTTGGCTGAACATCAATTGTACATTCATGGAGCCTGGTTTTGAGTGTTTCATGATTAAGTTCTATCTCTGAAACCAGCTGGGTGATAGTGGATGGTTCATGGATCCTTTCACTGGGACTTGTTTTCTCCCTCAGAAAGGAAGTAAGCGATCTTGACCTTGCTACAGAAAACCATGTTGCCCCTCACATGCTTGGGAGGAACTCTACAGGTCTCATGGTGACAAACCAGGCTCTCTGACACCATAGGGTTCAGCCCTCTGGCCAGCCCCTCTCTCTCCTCTTTCATCTATCTCTTCATGTCTGATTTAAGTTTTGTAATTAAGAGCATGGATGCTCACCTGGATGTTGGCTAGCCAAAAAAAGAGAACCTGAAAAATAAAAGCAGGAAGCTGAAATGCATGACTTCAGGGAGGGAAGTTTTTTCTCCCTCCTTCCCCAGCAGGTGTCTTTCCAGAGGCTGCAGGTAACAGATCCCAAATGAAGGACAGATGAGCAACTGTATCCTGAAGCTGTGTCCTGCTTTTCTCAATGTACACCTCCTTTGAGATATTAACAGAAGCCTGCCACAGCCCAGGGGGTCATCCCAATGCCTTCTTTTAGCCAGCGGTTGTATCTACCCTCCCTTGGCCCTTGGCAACCAGAGGCCCTAGACCCTAAACACTTGCAGTCCTAGAGATCGAAGAAGGCAGAAGGAAAACTTACCTGTTCTTTTCTTCCAAAAACATATGAATAGGCACACAATGACTATAACCAGCAAAGTACCAATAATTATATACGTTTGTTGCCACTGTAGATTTTCCTTAGGTAAAACTCCTGAAAAGAAGAAGAAAAAAGAGAAGTGGAACTTCTTAGGATACATAAATGATTTTTGAGCTTGTTTTAGGCCTCTCCTGAGTCTCTTCTGGGCTGCCTAAGGTATGGCCATTTATGCTCCCAGTTTGGGGCCCTATCAGGCTTTCTGGGGTCCCTTGTGGAGGCAGGGCAGTAGGGTCTGACTGGGGGAGGGAGAAACCATCCTGGCTCCTGAGGCTTTGCTCTTGGAAGAGGACTTGGGGAAGGAAAGAGGGAGACAGATGAGAGTTTTAGAACCTGCCTGTCCGTCTCCCTGCAGGAGTTTGGCTCCTCCCACTGCCACTGTCCAGGCCCTTGCTCAGGCTGTGAATCCATGCTATAACACTACACAGATGCTTGAAGCTCCCAGGAAGACCCAAGGCAGGAGTTACCTTTGCAAAGACTCTGGGCAGAGACAGAGACGGACAGATTACTGACAGCATTCTCAGCTTGGCAGGTGTAACTCTGGTCACTGGAATTCTTTGGATCCCAGGAGACAGTGAGATTTGGTTCCCCTAAAGAGATGCCTCCTGAGGCCTGCCACCCAACTGAGACAGTATGGTTTGGATTCTCCACAATACAGGTCAGGTGGATCTCGCAGGTTCCATTCTCAAACAGGCGAGTATGGTTGGTAACTTCTAAGTTACTCAGTCGTTCTGTGTAAAAAGACCTTAGTTAAGGCTTGGGCTGGAGAGATGGCTCAGTGGTTAAGAGCACTGACTGTACTTCCAGAGGATCCTAACTCAATTCCTAGCACTCACATGGCAGCTCACAACTGATTGTGGCTCTAGGATCCACACTCTCACATAGACATACATGCAGGCAAAACACCAATGCACATTAAAAAAGCAGGACACATGATTGTTGTGAAATACTTTAACTAGGCAAAGATGTGTTACATTTGTTTATGCTGTGGAATATTACTTTAACTATGGGAAGGTGTGTTCCATTTGTTTCTGCTGCATTTGTTAACGACATAAAGATGAATTATATTTGTTTGTGCTACATTTGTTTAATTTTGTAAAGATGTGTTGCATTTGTTTTACCTTGTCTGCCTAAGGCACCTGATTGGTTTAATAATAAGCTGAACAGCCAATAGGTAGGCAGGAGAGGGATAGGTGGGGCTGGCAGGCCGAGAGACCAAGTAGGAGGAAAAAAAATCTAGGCTTGACAGAGGAAAGAGAAGAGAAAAGAGAATGAGGGAGATGCCCAGAGTCAGTCGGGCAGCTGCCAGCAGGTCAGACGTGAGAAGCATATATAGACATAAGATATATAGAAGGAAAGGAAGGTTAAAAGCCCTGAGGCAAAATGTAAGTGATAAGAGTAGGACATTGAGCATTCTTAATTGCTGATAAGTCTCCAAGTAATGATTTGGGAGTTGGTTGGTGGCCCCTCAAAGTTCTGCTACACATGGCATTGCTCATCAACCTGTGAAAAACATCCTCTACCTTCCTGCCTTTTCTTTTGGCGTGTGCATGTGGTAGTGCATGTGTGCATGGGTACATGCTCACATGCATGGGGCTGCATGTCTTCCTCTCTCATTCTCTGCCTTGTATTTTGGGGCAGGGTCTCTCATTCAACCTGGAGCTTACCAAGTTGGTCAAGCATAGCTGCCCAACAAGCTCCAGGAGTTTTCCTGTCTCTTCCTCCCTAGAGCTGGGATTACAGATGTTTGCCACCATTCCCAGATGTTTATGTGGATTCTGAGGACTGATGTCAAGCCTTCTTGAGGGATGCTCTTTGAGCACACATGAACTTGGTTATCTGTTCTCCATGGCTCTCCCTCTAGATATCTGCATGTCTATTCTCTTAACGCCAATAGATGTTGATTCAAACGTCAGGTGATGTTTTCAATGAGGTCTGTTCTGATCACTTCCTTTAAAAGGTTCCTTGGGCATGGTGTATATCCAGTGATAGAGCGCCTTCCTAGCTTGCTCAAGGGCCTAGTTTTGGCCCCTAGCACCATGCTTCCTGCCACCACTGATGCTCCAATCCTTTCTTCCTTAGCATTTGGTATACTGTGAGTTTCATGAGGGCAACAACCTTTGTTTTGTTCACTGATGTTTTCTAGTTGCATAGCAGATTGCCTTCTACATTATCCATGGCGTACATCTTGCTATTCAACGAATAAACATACCATGTCTTCATAGCCAATACTAAACTCTAGTGGGTTACTCCCGATGAATTGGGAATGATCCAGAAGATCAAGTTTTGATTATCTCTCTTTTTAAAAATTTTTTACTTTTTGGTTTTTCGAGACAGGGTTTCTTTGTATTGCTTTGGAAGTTGTCCTGGAACTCTCTCTGTAGACCAGGCTGACCTCAAACTCACAGAGATCCGCCTGCCTCTGCCTCCCAAGTGCTGGGATTAAAGGCGTGCGCCACCAACATCTGACTTATTATCTCTATCTTACCATACAGAGAGTGTGGTCAATGTCTGAGGAACAAAAACTGCATTTCTCCTTGGAAATTCCTTTGCACTGGTGAGGAAAAGCTTGGTGCACAGCTCACATATCTTTGTGTGTATGAGTCTGTGAAGGGAAAGTGCTCCAGGTGAAAGTGAAAGTGTAAGGAGCCTGCTTGCTGTAGAAGCCATGGTGTCCTGAACAGTGTCAAAAGAATGGTGTCCCAGCACATGTGCTAGAGCCTGGCAGGCGGCATCTACTCTCAGGTGTTCTGTTGTATGCATTTCAGTTCTCTCAGAAATCTGGCAGTGTTCTGAAGGTCACAAATCAGGTAGGTGATCCTGACTGTAATGTCTGGAATGAGGACAGCCCTAAAGTGACACCCACATTTTAATTCCAGACTCATGCTATCTTACTTGAATAAAGGGGTTGTGCAACTTTTCTATAGACTAGTTGAGGAGGTCACCCCTGACTTTCCAATGACAAGTGTCAGTCTTAAAAATGAGCAAAGGGACATTTGAGACAAACAAGACAGAATATAAAGAGATGGCCAAGGAACACCAAGGAACTATAATAACCAGAAGCAGCGACACCAAGAGCAGATGGCCTTCTGCCCATACCTAGAACTCCACAAGAGAAGATTCATGTTATTTAGGCCATGAAAGTTGCGAAATTTTGTTTTGGCTACTTTAGGAAGCAAATACATTGTTCTGAGGCTTTCTGGCCCCTTTTTGTGGAATTCTCTGCTCAGAAAATTTCCAAATACCCTTTTATCTCAGTCCTATTTACTTGTTCTGTGTCATGTTCTTTTAGTGATGTGACTTTGACTAGCGTAACAAGACAAAGTCATCAAATATACAGGAAATATAAAGGTTACAGGGCAACTGATTTGTGGAGACATTTTATTTTAATGGTGCCTTTTAAAGAATTCTGCATCTTTAGTCAAAGGAGTATAAATGAATTTTAGACCTTGTGGATTCTTAAGTGGATCGAAATTACAGAATCTCAGTGGTCTTTAAAGTTGTCTAGTATGGAACCCAATTCACATAGTTATTTTTAAAAATGTAACAACATTTAAATTTTAATTTATTTTTTGTTTGTTTGTTTTGAGACAGACTCTCTGTACCTAGCCACATAGCTGTCCTGGAATTCACTAGTCTGGCCTTGAACTCACAGAGATTCACCTGCCTCTGCCCCCAGGAGTGCTGTGATTAACGGTGTGTACCATCATGCCCAGCTAATATTTAGTTAGTTTAACTATTTACTTTCATTTCTCTCTCTCTGTGTGTGTATCTCTGTCTCTCTTTCTCTCTGTGTGTGTCTGTGTACATGAGTGCCATGGTATGCATAAAGAGGTCAGAAGACAACTTGTAGGAGTTCATTCTCTCCTTCCACCTGGGTCCTGGAAATCGGACTCAGGTCATCAGCCTTGGTAGCAAGCACCTTTACCTACAGAGTCATCTTACTGCCTATGGTAGTTTGAGTGTTTTGCTTCTATTAACTCCACACTTCCGGTTGAAAGGGGAAGTGAAGCCACTGGTGTAGAGAGTAGGAAGCTGTAAGTTTCTATTTAGCTGTGCAGTATAATCAAACTGTTCTACTTCTGGACCTCAAGGTGAAGCTAAATGCCATCCTCATTATCACTAGGCTACAGTGCACTCTTGTTGGCACACAAGGTTGACATATGTGATTTGGATTTGTTTTCAGTTTACATGTGATTAAATGCTGTATTTGGACTCACCGAAGACCCTCAGTGTAAAAATAGAGAAGTCCTGTTTAGAGTCTTTTGTGTTTATCTGTGCTCTGTACAATCCTGCGTCTGCCATTGTGAGGTTGTTGATTTGCAAGAAGTAGGACTGGGTGATGCTCAGTCGCTCTCGCATCTTTAGATCACTGTGTATGATTTGTGGAGTCCCAGACTTATTTAGCTGGATGATAAGGATTGTAGTGACTTGTGATGCTTCTCCTTCGTGATTCCATATGATGAGATTGGCCTCCTTTCCTGTTGGAAGCTCCAGAAGAAGAGTTGCTGACCCTCCTAGAACACCATTCACCACCTTTGGGCTTTCGTTGCTTTGTGAAACTTCATTCCCTGTAAACGCAGAAGGAGAAGGCTATCAAGTTGTCCCGGTAAGCCCCTTCCATTCCTGTATCCTTTCTCTTAATTCTGCCAGTCTGTTTAAGCTCTCTGGAAGCACAGCAGAGGTGTGTTGGGAGAATAAAAAGGGCTAGAAGTGTTGTGGTAGGTAGTTACACTCCCAGTAGCTCCACCCCCAGCAAAATATCTGCCAGTCTTGGTCAACAGGCAATTGGTCTAGTTAGATGATCCTGGCCCACGGTCTACTTTCACCCTGGCTGGTCATACTTTTGTGACCTCAGTCTTTGAAATCTTTTGGCACCAATCTGTGAGACAGATAAGGAGCCTTATTAACCCCTTGACACAAACTCCAACAGTCACACGTCTTTGCTGATGGTAGTATTGCCACCCCAGTCATTTACAGTTTGCCTAATGACTGTCTTTGTAGCATGCTTTTGCAACCCAGAGAGCCAATAATAGGGATTTACTGCTTATGCAGTTCTTTTGCCTGCTTTGTTTCGTTTGATGTTGGTAGCTGTCTTTGAGGCAGATAAAAAAATGTCTGTTTATGGATAAAGAGACTGAGATATAGAGAGGTTAAACTCACTTTCCTTGGTTGTACCTCTAAAAAATAACAGAGCCAGGAAAGGGAGTTGGACTTCCTGGAACTGGAGTTACAGACAGTTGTGAGCTGTCATGTTGGTGCTGAGAATCAAACTAGAGTTCTGAGAGAGCAGCCCATGCTCTTAACTGCTGCATCATCACTCCAGCCTGTGCTTACAACTCTTAAAGACAATGTTTCTTTAGAGCCAATGCCAATTTTTAAAAAAAATTTATTTATTTAAATTTAATTTAATTATTTAAATAAATTTTTTTCATTTATTTTACATACCAACCAGTTTCCCTTTCCTCCTCTCCTCCTGTCCCCTCCACTTTCCCAACTACCCCCCTCCCCATCCACTCCTTCTCCATCTCCATTCAGAAAGGGAAAGGACTCCCATGGGCTTGCACAAAACATGGCACAACAAGTGAGGCAGGACTGAGCTCCTCCCCTAAATCCGTCAGCCAGGTCATCCAGCATGGGGACAGACTACCAAAAGCCAGCTAAGCTCTCACTGTTAGAAGCCTTACTAAGAGACCAAGCTACATGATTGTCACATGCATGCATGTATACCAACCACAAGGACGCTTGCTCAACTATGTTCATAGTAATGCCAAGTTCTTAGCACGCATCACTCTGTTTTCTAGAGCTTTGCTTACTTGTCTCACAGTGGTTGATCTCATATTCCAGCACAGTGTTTGACACATGATGGGGTCTGTGGAAACGTTTGACTATCAGTCAACAAATAAACCTGATTGTGATGTCAACTTTCTTGGTGGGGGAGGGCGGCGTGTCTCCTATTTTCTAGGGAAAAGCTGTGTGTGTGTGTGTGTGTGTATTTATGGGGTGGCCCAGAGGATCCTGACACTTACTCAGCCCTAACATGACCTCGCACTTCTGCTTTCTTTCCTGAATTGCTGTACAGTTTCCAGGCACATCCGAATTGCTGCCACACATCCCTGCCTGCCCTGCATGTTTCCCATCAGCCTTTCGACACATGGCTATTTGTCATCTTGACTTCTCTTTCCTCTCAGAATCACATGAGTAAAATATAACAATCAAAGTCTTGAGTACAAAAGGCTCCCTCAAGTAGTAATCTGCTTACTTAAAATTAAAACCAAGTAAGACAGGTCTGTACTGTCAGAAGTCCTAGGACTTAGCAGGAACACTTCCTCCCACTACCCAGCATATTCTTTAAGTTCTCTTGATTTTATAGATCAAAATTATTAGGCTTTTTTTTGTGGTTGTGGTTTTGAGACGAGGTCTTATATATATAGCCCAGGCTAACCTCAAACTGGCCATCCTCTGCCTTAGACTCCTGAGGCCTAGGGATTAGAGGCATGTGTCACCATGCCTGGATTATTAGTTTAGTCAAAGAGAATAAATGTATTCTACTATTTACTTAGTTTTGTGCTAGTTTAATGGGTGAAAACTTTAGAAATCATGGCATCCAGACCATATTATTGATTCCCCTTCGTATGTCTGCTTCTGATCTGGATCTGGGAAATACATATGTTGTATGTATGAACAAGATAGTACTGATTTGCTGGTTTGTGATCTGGCAGAGAAGACTGACAGGTGAATGAGTAACTATGGTGTGGTTTGGTAGGCATTGACTTGGGATTAGGTTTGCCTCTGCATGGTCTTTTTTCTTTCTTTCTTTCTTCCTTCCTTTCTTCCTTTCTTTCTTTCTTTCTTTCTTTCTTTCTTTCTTTCTTTCTTTCTTTCTTTCTTTCTTTCTTTTTTTATGAGACAGGGTTTCTCTGTATTGTTTTGGAGGCTATTGGTCCAGCCCGGCCTCGAACTCACAGAGATCTGTCTGCCTCTGCCTCCTGAGTGCTGTGCATGGTCTTAGTATCACTATTATACCATCTTCGATGTTTTCTGTGTACTCTTATTGCTTAGCACAGTTTCAAGTCAAACAAATAAAGAACATATGGAGGTATGTGTGTACTCTGTGGAAGCACCAATAGTGAGTGGTGGACCAGGGACAGCTATGAAGGAAGAAGCCGAAAAATGTGATGTTGTAGGAAGATTTTGAATAACAACAGGGACTTTCCCATTGCTCAGCAATTTGTAAATTTCCTCAATGACTCTGCTGTCTTTGTACTATGTCACTTCTGTCTGAAATGCTTTTCCCTTTATTTCTACGTGGTAAGTTGTTACTTATCTTTGAAAGATGGCTGAAATACCTGTTTGCCTCTGCTTTGATTTGTGGGAGTTTTCACTGGTACAAGGGGAGGAGAAGGGAGTTGTGTTGAAGACAGAGGTGCACGGACAGAGGAACAGTAGGAGTAGTTCCCTGCAGGTCTAAAACTATATTTGAGACAACAAGCTCATAGTGCATGAAGATCAGAAGTTACTGAGCATGTTCAAAAGACCACCAGGTGATGGTGGATTGACCCAGAGGAAACACGGGATTTTTTTTCTTGGATTGGGCACAGATGCTTTTAATCACTCTGGCCAACCCCTTGGTGTGGATACTAATGTTCTGGGACTTCCACGTACTCTGCTGGCAGTAAGTATGGAAGAGTAGAGTCAGAATAGAAGAGTAGAAGTTGGAAAGACATTTTATGGTGGCTCTGGCTGTGGCAGGCTACTTGGCGTGTTGGCAGGGCAGGGAGCATAGAAAGCATCCCTTTGCCACTCTACAAACCACTGGAAGACCACTTGGACTATGGAGAGGGTGCTGATGTTCTTTGGTGATATCAAATCTGGGATCATTATCTCATACTTTTTATGTTCCACCCAATGGACTGGGAACATGAATAATGTCTGGCATAGCTTCTTATTTCTCCAGAAGTTACTTCAGAGCATCCAATGAAAGTTATTCAGAATGAAATTGGAATGTAGAATGTCTTAATGGGTCACTTGAACAGTGGAATTGACTTAGTAAAGTATTAGTAAAAAAGTATATGGAAAACAGTGTTTTAGGAAGGATAAGGCATAGGAAGGCCTAAGAAGGCGTTGAAAATGAATAAAAAGTCACAAGAAACCCTGATGTTTCTAACCTAGAAGACTTAGGTCTGTTCATAGTCAAAAGGATATAGCGGGATGTTTTATTTCCCAGGCAATGAATTCAGAGTGAAAGAAAGCGGAGACTGATTTATCGAGCGAGTTTACAGAGAAAGGAAGAGAAACAGAGCAGAACTTTTAGATGGATGTGGGATGAAGGAAAGGTGTTCATTAGGATAACAAGAGCCCTTGGTAAATTTAGAGAAAAGGGAACAGTGCATGGAGAAGGGCTTTAAAGATATGATGGAAAGGAATGTTTAAAACGCAGAGCTGTTTCTGAGGAGGAAGCTCGAGTGGGGCTCAGGAGCACAAGTGTGTCAGTTTTGAGTAGAGGTGGATTTCTTCTGCCATCAAGGCAAGCAAGGATGAGGCTTAAGAGATTTATAGGTAAAGGACGATATTTAGACACTTCAAGTAACTTGGTCTCAAAGTTATAAGACAAATTGATCTCATAGGTCCTGAGTGATTCTTGGATCATTCTCCAAGACAGATTATGTGAAGGCACAAAGAAAATTTCAAAACATTTGAAAAGTCTTAAATAATAGAAAAAACCCTTCTTTGACTGCTATGAAATAAAACCAGAAATCAAAACCAGAAAGAAACACAAAAAATGCACAAATAATCTGGAAGTCAGACTCCATTGTCTAAAACAGTCACTGGACTAGAGAGGAAACCAGGGTGGAGTTAGACTGTATCCTGGGAGGTGTGGATAGGAAAGCACAGGGTGCTACAACCTAGGGATAAGCTAAGGCACGGAACAGAGGAGCGTCTACAGCTACAAATGCTTACAGTAAGAAAGAAGGAAAATCTCAAGTCAACAATTTAACAAGGCCAAGGACATCAGGAAAGGAAAGTAAGGAAAGAAAGAAGAAGAAAACAAACAAACAAACAAAAATTCTAACTCTCCAGTAGTTCTCAACCTGTGGGCGTTGACCTTTGGAAAACACATATTTCCAATGGTCTTAGGAACTGAGACACTGTTTAGTAGCAAAATACAGTTATGAAGTAGCAACAAAAACAAATTTATGGTTGGGCGTTCCTAAGACCATTGGAAATATGTGTTTTCCAATGATTGTGACCTATAGGTTGAAAACCACTGCTGGACTGAATGTGGAAAAATCCTTAACAAAATATCAACAAACAGAACTGAAAAACACTATGGGGTTATACACCCAGTTTGGCTGGGTGTGGTGGCTCATAACTTTAATCTCAGCACTAAGAGGCAAAGGCGAGTGAATCTCCATGAGTTCAAAGCCAGCCTAGTCTTCATAGTGATCTCCAGGATCCCAGGGCTATGAAAAGAGAAACTGTCTCAACAAGCAAACAAAAACAAAACCTTAAGAAAATCCAGTGTTTGTTCTTCATTGCTAGTGTAGAGAAATACAATCTAGAAAAGGAA